GCGCGGGGCTGTTGTCACATCCTGTGATCTGAGTGCTGATTGAGGACTGAGACCCACAGAGACCCCAAAGACGCCCTGCTGTGCCAGGGGATGGCTTCCTACATTGTATGTATGATAGAGTAATGAGGCTCCTCTCTGAAATCCTTCATGAAAAGTTCATGGCAGCCACCTCAGCCAGCTGGAACCCAGTTGTGTTGTGGAATGTATTTCTCACCTGTACAGCACTGTCCTGTGAGACTGTGGGCTGCTCTCTGGGACCTAGGGCCAGCAGCTAGCAAGGCATGGTGACATGTCCTGTGTTCTGCTGTGCTCCTGCCCACAGCCAAGGAGCTTATCTTCACTGCCCACACATGGCTGGAAGCCCCAGATGTCTGTCATCTGGTGCCTTCCATAATCCCCAGCTCTGAGCCTGCCTTTCGTGTTTGCTTGTTGTTGTTGTTGTGGGTGTTGATGGTGGGTTGTTTTGTTTTTCCCAATAACACAGTAACGGGAATATGTTTTTATCATCTAAAAGTCAAATAAAACAGTAGTGCCCCTTAATACTACTCCCAATTTGAGTGCCCAGTTGGGGAACGTAGCTGTTCACGACTAAGGAGGAGAGCAAGCTCTGTGATCAGGGACTTTTAGCAACTCTCCCACTGCAAAGAAAAGTGTTTGATCTTGTGGGATTCCGATCCAGGATATAGACAGGAGACTGGGGATGGTCAGGCCTACGAGCAGGTGAAGAACAGAAAAAAAAAAGTTAAAGGAGCCATAGGAAGTCTTCATTTCTCCCACTGATGCCTTTTGGTTTTGTGGCTCTTTTTCAGACTGGATTATTCAGGGATTGCTCTACTGATTATGGGGAGCTTTGTCCCCTGGCTCTACTACTCATTCTACTGCTCCCCACAGCCACGGCTCATCTACCTCTCCATCATCTGTGTCCTGGGCATTTCCGCCATTATTGTGGCACAGTGGGACCGGTTTGCCACTCCTAAACACCGGCAGACGAGAGCAGGTGGGTAGGAAGACAATGTCAACCTCGTGAGTTTTTCAGCCTTTACCCTAATAGGCTCAACCTTAGGCCCCAAGATCCTGCAGTTTGAGGACCCCACTCAAACCCTGATTTGTGTTTAGAACTGAGAGCAGTGTGGATTTTTTTTTTTTTTTTTTAATTTGTTTGTATTGATTTAGAGAGACAGGAAAGGAGAGGGGGAGAGAGAAACATCGATTGTATGCACTCCCACTGGGGATCAAACCCGCAACCTATGTGTATGAGCCCTGATGGTGACTCAGACCGGCAGCCTTTGGTGCATAGGACAACACTCAACCAACTGAGCCATACCAGCCAGGGCAACAGTGTGGATTTTTAGGGCTCAGTTGTCCCCCAGGCTTCATATTATTTCAGTAGAATGCTAATAGGCCACATAATGACCAAGTTTGTCAATTAGCTGCAAGTATAGAAATGACTGCTCTTATATTTGGTTTGAGAAAGTTAAAAAATGTGCAGCTCTGGCTGGTGTGGCTCAATTGATTGACCATCGTCCCATGCTCCAAAAGGTCACCAGTTCGATTCCTGGTCAGGGCATATACCCAGGTTGCCAGTTCAGTCCCAGGTCAGGTACATGCAGGAGGTCACCGATTAATGTTTCTCATATCTATGTTTCTTTCTTTTTCTCTCCCTTTCCCTTACTTTCTCTCTAAAATCAATAAAAACATATTTTTTAAAAATTACTGACTTTAAAAATAAAAGTACAAAGCACAGTCATTTTAGCAACCTGAGTCCTAAGCACTCAAACCAAGGAATTAAAATTAAAACACCGAGAGTTGTTTTACCAATGGAATAGAAGTCTTGGTTTGAACATAAACACTGGTCACAACTATTGTAATGGCTACAAGCATGAACATCTTTGGGTTGTTCAATCTAGACTCTTCTTTTAAGCTTTATTACTTGCAGCAACTCTAGTGACCTGTTTAGATTTATTATTATCTTGCATGTTGTAAGCTTCAGTTAAAAGAATTTAAATGTTTATCAAGCATCAGCCAAGTGCCGGGCATGGTGCTTTAACAAGGGCATGTCTACAAAGGTGGAAAGGTGGCCCCTGCCATCCAGTCACGTTCACTGTGGTGGTGTAAAGACTGGCCCATTCTTCCTTCCTCTTTCCTTGTCTTCCCAGCAGCTACACAGCTTCTAACCTGGGTATCTCTACCTGCTTAGGTCAGAGTCCTAGGTACTTAAGTGTTTTGTGGTCTTACTGTGAAACCTTTCCACTCCTTTCTGCCTCAAAGCCTTGTCCTGAAGCTTTGCCCTCTGGGTTCTGTACCTGAGTCAGCCACCAGAGGGTTTGGTCTGTTGTCGTTGCCTAACAAATAATGAAGAGTGTGAGATGTTTGTTCGTGGAGTTGCTTGGAGGGCAGTAGCTGTACAGGCACTTTCACAGCTACCTTCCCATTCTGGATGTTGAAGAAATATCTGCTGACTAGTCTCCTTTTTGTGGCCACATTTCCTGACTAAGTAGCCAGCTGTTGTAGACTCTTGCATTCGAGTGCACTCTGTGTGTGGCCATCCCCTTGCCTGACGTCCTGTGTCTGCTCCGTGCAGGGGTGTTCCTGGGCCTGGGCTTGAGCGGCGTCGTGCCCACCATGCACTTCACTATCGCCGAGGGCTTCGTCAAGGCCACCACCGTGGGCCAGATGGGCTGGTTCTTCCTCATGGCTGTGATGTACATCACTGGAGCTGGCCTCTATGCCGCTCGCATTCCTGAGCGCTTCTTTCCTGGAAAGTTTGACATATGGGTAAGAAATGGCTCTATCCACAGTGCCTGTGGTCAAGGCCTGGCCCCAAGTGAAAGGTCTGAGTAAAACGCAGTAGAGACATGGGATCATGTGGTGTTTGGGGTACATACATGTATGGGGGAAGTAACTAATATGAACGTTTTGGTGTATTTCTTATACAACTTTTAAAAAGTTTTTCTATAGCAAATGTATCACTTTCGTAATATAAAAAATTTTAAGTAGGAACTGGATGAGGTGTAAGAGCTTTCTCCTCATTTCTGATCTCTCCTTGCCATTAACCCTAAGGGTCATCTCTTGTTCTTACAGTTCCAGTCGCATCAGATTTTTCATGTCCTGGTGGTGGCAGCAGCCTTTGTCCACTTCTACGGGGTCTCCAACCTTCAGGAATTCCGCTATGGCCTGGAAGGCGGCTGTACTGATGACTCCCTTCTCTGAGCCTCCCACCCGAGGTTGGAAGGGAAACTTCCCAAGTGCTTTCAAAAATAACTTCTTTGCTGAAGTGAGAGGAAGCGTCTGAGTTGTCTGTTTCTAGAAGAAACCTCTTAGAGAATTCAGTGCCAGCCAGGCTTCAGCTCACCTTCCCACCTCAGGGCGGGGGGATAAGCTTTCTGTGTCCCTCCCCGAGGAAGGGAGTGGTCGCTTGGCCAAGCCCCTCCTCGGCAGCCCTTCCTCAGCAAAGCTACTCTGTCCCCTTGGCACAGAGTACTTTGAAGCTCATGTTGAGATTTTACCCCTCCTCTAACCATTTTGGGAAAAAATGATGGACTGGGACTCTTCAGAAATTCTGTTTCTGGACGAAAATGTCCCTCCCTTACCCCCATCCTTACTTTGTAACCTGGCTTAGAACAGGCCACCCATTTTGTAGCACACTTTTCAGAAACGATTGTAGCCCGGTCCCGTCTTTCTGGGGCCTGGATCTGCTGACAGCAGGAGGAACAGTCACCAACTTTGATGTAGTCGAGTAATCATGGGAGTGTGTCCAGGCTTCAGATAACTTTGAGTTTTAATTTTTTTTTTCTTGGCAGAGTAATGTAAAATTAAAATGGGGAAAGATATTTAATATTTAATACTAAGCTTTAAAAAGAAATCTGCTGTCCTTGTTATGTATCCTGATGCAAAGACTATGGTGATAATAAAAGGAAGTACAGAAGATAATTAGCATTCAAAGATTTAACACGTAGTTTCAACTATACACATAATGCCAAAGTACTGGGAAGGTAATTTCAGATTCTACTGAGGTACAAATGTGAATCATAGGCACTGCCAGGCTGGTGTATACAAGCCAATGAATAAGCCCAATTGAATTCCTAGCGTCAGCTCCTCTGTACAGCCTTATTTTCTCTACTTATTGCACAGAATTTTACTAGGGAAGTTATGCTAAAGTGTTATTTAATAATTAGAAGACACTCAAAGGTGCTGGGGTATATCCCTGTGAATGTCAAAGTCTGCTGCATATTACTCTAGGGTTTAGTTCTTTAAGACTGTCTTGCAGAACATGCTAGGACTGCCCCTGAAAACAACAGGAGAACTGGAACTAGTCCCCTCTGTGTGCTGTCTTGCTGGCGGTTTCTCCACCTTTTTTCCAGTTCCTTCTCATGTTGGGAAAATTTTTGATTTAGCACTCACATCCAGAAAACAAGGATGATTTGTATCTTCATACATATACAAGTAAATATGAATACATCTTCCCCACCTTTTTATACAAGAAATAGCAAATTTACACATTGTTCACAACCCCATGATATTGTGTGGATGAATGTACTTTACTGAAGCAGTCCCCTACTGATGGGCATTAAGGCTGTCGCCAATCTCATATACAAGCGACCTGCACACATATCACTGTACATACGCGAGAGTATCTACAAGGGATAAATTCGTAAAAAAGTTCAAGGATGTCTGCGTTCATAATTTTGGTGAACTTTTTCAAAATGCCCCCAATAGAACGCACACGTATCCTGTACTCACACCCGCGATGTCAGGGATCATTTTAGATCAGAGAGGTGATGTGAGAGATGGAAAGAATTAGGTTGCTACCCGCTCGGTTTTGGTTTCATTATCCCTAAGCGATCAAAGGCCCGCTTCTGAGCCACTAGGGTAAGTGCGTCCAAATCAACTAGAAGCAAAAGTCCCAAACTGAGACAGCCCTGCGAGCTGGGGACGCCAGCACTCGGGGCAGAGCGATGGAGACCGAAGCTTCTAAATTGCAGCGCCCTCGGGTGACGGCGGGCCCCGCGGTGACGCCCGGAGGGCTGCCGTCGGGTCCAGGGGCCGGCGGGTCCCCACGCGAGAGTCCACCCGAAAGGCAGCGGCCTGGGAGAAACGGAGCCTCCGAGGGTTTTCTCGAAGGGAGAGGGCCCCCGAATCCCCGAGGGGAAGCCACACCCGCCATCAGCTCCTGGGCTCAGGAGTCCCGGCGCCTCGGGGACGCTCGCCCCGCTCCCCGGCCGCCGGGCGCGCTGTCCTGGCGTCACGTGACGCGGCCGAGGCCGGGAAGAGGCGGGCCTCACGCTGCAACGTCATCACGTCGCGCGACCGCAGGGCCGACGGAGGGA